CCTCCACCCCAGGAGGTGCAGTGGGAGCCCCTGTGCCAAGCTGGGGACACCCCAGGGGAGCCAGGCTGTGCCGTGCAGGGGAGCCCGGTGGGCTTGCCTCTGCCGTGCGGTGCCGTACCGTTCCAGCAGGTCAAGGCGGAGCTGGTGGCCGTGGGGCAGGGTAAGCAGCTCCATGCCAGAGCTCACCCCCATGAGCCGCTGCATCTCCACTGTCACACCCAATATCCGGGCAACCTGGCAAGAAAGGTGAGAGCTGATTAGACCTTTATTAATTGAGGAGAGGCTGAAGTGGCCTTGGGCAGCCTCTCGCCACAGCCCAGCCTCTGCCTGCCCTGGCTGATACAGCGTGGCAGAGCCCAGCAGGGACGCCCCAATGCTCGGGGGTGTCCCGATGCTCCGGGATACTCCGATTCCCTGCCAACCTGGATCAACTGCGAACCGGGATCAACTGGAGGGTGGCGGTGCCCGTCCCTCCCGCCCAGCCCTGGCCGTACCAGGCAGTCCACTTTGGTGATGTGTTTGGCCAGCGTCTTCACATCCACCTCTGCCAGCAGCTCTTTGACCTTCTTGAGCACAGCCATCTCCAGGGGTTTGTTCTCCAGGGGGATAAGCAGGGACTGGAAGGCCACGGGGTTGAAAGAGGAGGTCGTCTCCATGGTGGGGGGCACAAAGCCCAGGAAGTCCAGCTCCCCTTTCAGCCTCTGCCCTGCCTCTGCTTCCCCAGAGCCGTTCTCCACAGTCCCTCTCTGTCCTTCCTCCACCTTTAGCCTCTCCACATAGCTCTTTGTTGGCAGCTGCTTGATGTCATGAGCTGGCCGGTCTCTGCTGATGGGCGAGGTGGGGTGCAGCTGGCAGTAATGGCCCGTGTCCGGGTCGCTGTAGCTGTTCACGGAGGGAGAGGGGGAGGCGCGGGCATACCCATGGCAGGGAGTCGAGTGGGTGCTGTGAGCAGGGTCTGGCAGGGGTTTGCTGTTGTTCCCCGGGCACAGCTGGGGCTCGCTGGACCTTCTTATGACTGGAGAGGCCGGGGCAATCCCAGCTGCTTGGCAGGCATGTGGCTTTAGCCGTGTAACTGCAGGGAACAGGAGAGACCTTGTTATTAGAGCCTGGAGATACGCATACACAGAGGGACCACGGATGCAGCAGCTTGGGGACGCGGAGCTCGGGAAAAGCTGCCCGAATGGGTTCAGCCGGTCCCAGGACAGCTGGATGATGATGCAGCTGAGGACTGGCTAGGTCCCATCCTCAGCTCAAGCCCTCTGTCAGGACAGTTTTCTTTGCTGTGCAAAGAGCCAGACAGGGTTTCACTCGTAGGGAGTGACACAGGGGCTGTCAGCCAGCTCCATCCCCCTCCCCGGGTCCCTGCATCACACCCATGCCAAATCCAGCCTGACCCACGTCCCCACTGGGATGGGGGGGCGATGCCTACCTGTACTGTAGGCGGGTGACGCTGGGTTCTCGGAGATAGGGGACATTGGGGAGTGCAGGTCTTGGATCTGGTCCACACTGACGGCACAGTTGCGAATGATGTCTCTGTGGTGGGGCAGGGACACGCTGGGGAGGGGGCAGATGGGGCAGGTTAGTCCCTGCAAACAGGGCCCAGGCAAGGGCAGAGGGGCTGGGATGAGAGTTGGCTGCCCCATCCCTTTCCCTCAGGTCATCACCTCCTTCCACAACTACCCTTAACGAGCTGAACCCATAATGAGCTCAGCTGGAGCACTGAGCAAGCAGTCCCTGCAGGCAGCTGGGGTCAGTACCTATATAAAGCAGAGATAGCCCTACCTCTGGGGAGTTTGGTCATCTGGAGTAGGGGAGAGGGATGCTCTGATGCCAAGGTAGGGCTTGGGCTGGCTCCAGAGTGCTGTGGGGAAGTGGCTC